GTTCTGCCAAATTGTCCCTCTACCAACACACCTGTTCCCTCTTCCAATGGTTGGTATATAGAAGTATGTATTAATTACATACCTGTGCTTGGCTGTTTGCAAGTTTGCAACACACACACACAGATCGATTTTATAGCCAGCAGTTCTATTTTTTTCATTTGTATTTAAAGAAGAGTTTGTATTTAAAGGATGGTAACAATTAATCCTGTACGTATTTAAAGGATGGTAACAATTGTAGAGGCAGTGTGTGTACAGAAACATCTTGACGACGCACGTGCATGCACGTTGTGTATATGGTGTGCAGTAGATGTTGCTTTTGCGACGCACGTGCATGCACGTGTTGCGTATATATATCGTCTGCATTGGATGTTGCTGCTGCGACACACGTGCATGCAGTGGATGATGCTGCTGCGACGCACGTGCACGCACGTACATCATGTTGGTACAGAGCACGACAAAAGAAGTAATGAGATAGCACGTGCGATTACCCGTGGCTGTCTCCTTTCTCCTGGTAAGGCACCGGGATCAATAGAGGCTAACACTCTTAATGACTTTAATAAAAATAAAGTGATCCATATAGATTAAGAAATGTTGAGACTACTACTCACACAATACAAATTATCATTACTTTGTGGTTTGCACAGAAACTTTTTTCTTTCATTATGCATCACCTTTATTTCCTCTCCCTCTTCTTTTTTAGCATGGATCACCCTATCTCTCCCCAAGTATATGTAACTTCTGTAAGCTACTATAACAAATGTAGAACATCTATTTTTTTATCCGATCCTAGATGACACTTGAGGCTGCTGGTCCAAACAAGCATCATTGGGGAAGACCTAAATAGAGATAGAATCTTGTGGGGCACAGTGGCTAAAGACAAGTATTACTAGTACAAAAACAATTTTCACTAACGTCACCTGCTTTTTACTAGCGGCAAATAAAAGGAGAGACGACAGTACAGTGCTGTTTTGGGCCCATGCCCAAGAACTGCTAGTGAAACACCATTTTTAACAGTAGTCTGTATAACACAACCTTCCGTAGAAATGTTTGTATTATTTTTCTGGTAGCTGAGTTATTAAGCTACTTTTCTAGTTCGTCCTGTTTTCTGGATTGATTTGTATGGGTGGCTTCTGAAGATGACCGTCAGTTACATCCATTTACACTTGTGGTTGAAAACTACCACCAATGAAAATTCCCTTTACACTGGCAGTTGAAAACTACCGCTGGTGAAAATTCCCTTAACACTGGCGGTTGCGAACTACAACCCATGAAAATACTCTTCACATTAGCAGTGTTTAAACTACTGCTAGTAGAAATTAATTGATTTATATCATCAGTAATAGTGCTTGTTTAGATAGATTAGGACTAGTTATTAGTCTTGGCTAAAAAACAACCAGCTAAAAATTAGCCAACTAGTTGGTAGCCCTTGTCTGTTTGGATCTTCAGCTAAAAATTAGTCATAGACAAAAATACCCTCCCTCCTACCTTTTATGCCTCACCTGGCTAGAAAGAAAGTAAAGGACAGTGATGACTTTTTTGTATATTTGTAGCACAAGCCCTTTTTATTTGGGTTTGGAGGACTAGTGAACGAACAACTGGTTGAGATTTTGGCTTATTAAACTTTAGCCCACCCATTAGCTCTTCTGTTTAGATCCTCGAGGGCTAAAGTTTAGCAACTAGTTGGTAGCCCATGAGATCCAAACATGCCCTAAAAATATTGAATACTAGTGAGGCCTGGGGCCTGGGGCCTGGGCATCTGTGACCAAGCCGCACTCCCCTCGTATAAGAAGACCTCCAGCCTCATACAGATAGCCGCATACGTAGGAAGGAAATCCAAGCAACAAACTTGGCATTGTGGTCCGTTCTTGCCAGGAGAAAGAAAGACGAGGCCTCAGCGTCCTCGCAGCTCTGCCGCTCGGCGAAGGTGACGACGACAATCCTTTTGCCGTTTAGTTTTATTTTCATCTGGATAGATAGATCATTTGGTACGATGTATGTATGCATGCTGCAAGCACACTAGACATTTTTGACTAAACATGCGTCGGCACAGCAGGCTCGTGGCCGTGCTGCGACGACTGCGGCATTTGCAACTGGACGCTCCCGCCGAAGTGTCGGTGCAATGACATTTCGGCGCACGGGTGCCACCCGTAGTGCAAGAAGTGCGTCAGGAACACGCTCACGGCCGACGACGATGGCACCGGCCCCGTCCGCGCCTACCGCTGCGCGGACATGTTCACAAACTTCTGCGAGCGCCGCTGCACGCCGGCGCCGGCTGCGGCGTTCCTGGGTGAGGTCTTCTGATGGCATCGATGGGCCGCCGTCGATCTGCTGCAAGTGGAAGCGGGCATTTGCCATGCCAAGTCGAGTTTGCTTCTCTCGAGCTTCGTCAGAGAAGAAATAAATAAATGTCGCCGCTCTGCTCGATGCTTGCTCTTGCTCGTCGTCAGTAGTGTTCTAGTACTGTTTCTGGAGTAAAGAGCCATGCATGATGCATGCTATGCTCAAAGCACTGTTGGTTGGTTTTCGTTTACCAGCTAGCTATAGTTCGTCACGTTAGGTCCTTTGATTTTGTTCCCTTTGCAGCTGTTATCGTGTCGAATCATGACAATATCTTGATTACCTTGTTGTATTGCCCACAACTTCTTGCGATGTTTTGCCAGGCAGGCTCACGAACTAATAATTCTTCTGCCAAATGCAAAAACATTTTTGTGATGTCCAGACGCACCAAATGCTGCAGCTGCGCATCAATCATTCCGACCGGACACAGACGGGGGGGTCACGGGGCGTCTGAACACGGGTCCTTGGACAGAGAGCGACCCACATGCAGCCCTGCAGCAAAATGGGTTTCCAGCATCAAACATACTTATAGCACATATAGGCCCCGTTCTTTTGATGAAAAAACAAGTCGAAATATTGTTCCGGTTGATTTGTTGTGAGAGAAAAATATTGTTCCGGCTGAAAAAACAAGCTGAAAAAGACGGATTATAAGAGAAGCGAACATGGCCATAATACTCCGTGCTGAGCTCCAAAAGATGTCCCATCACATGTAGCCAAGGCCAAGGCCACGAGCTCAGCACGACGGCGCACATGTGTGGCCCTTTAACTCTCCTTCTCGAGCACATACTAGCTTTCTATTTAAGTTGAGCACCTCCATAGTGAGTTTCCCTTGTGATGCTAATTCAAATCTCACTTAGTGTTAATTGTGGGCCTTTAGAATTCTTTGATTAATTGTTAGACCAGTTATGGGACAAGCCCAATTAATCGAACGGCCAGGACAAGAAAAAACACTAATATTGTACCAAAGAAAAACAATAAACTAGAGAAGGAAAGAAATTAAAAAAGCTTTAAAAGCAGCTTGAGCAATACTACTTTTGTGGCCTGTTCCCTAATGTCAACATGAGCAAAACCTAATATATGGGAAGAGAAATAGCTCCCTATATATTAGATCTACATGCATGAGACCTGGCACCCCACTTTTTTTCCTCGAACAATGCATGAGAAAAGTGATAAGTTCAACATCACTACCGGCTCAAGCCATGAACCGGCGGTGACATCATTTCTGGTTCGTGACTTCACTATCGGTTTTTGAGGACCCCTAATCATTTTTGGATTTTTAATTTAAGAATTGGCGGTGAAGGGTTATCATTGGCGGTTTCAGAGCAATCGGTAGTGATGGGCTGGTAGTGAAGGTCTGTTCTGCAGTAGTGAGCCCGTGCTCTTGAAAGCACAGGTTGATGAACTACCTAGTCAAAACAAACAGAACCCTAACTCATGCTGTCTTGGGTCCTTGGAGCATGCCCATTCATGCACCACCGTTTCCTTGTTGAGAAACCATTTCTTCGTCTCTCATCATTAACTCTCATGTTACGTTAGATTTTTACATACTCGATGTGACAAAATATTTAGTGCTATGAAAACTAGCTGAGGTGTGGGAGGGGTAAGAACTGCCCTCATTGGATGGAGATAGTACTGCAAGCTGCATTGGTGTGCCTAGATGTACAGGGATCAGCGTATAAACATGGTTGAGGTCAGTAGGAGTATTATATGTTTAAGCAATGAAGCTAGCTAGTTTCTTGACCACGTTGGCAGCAGCGGCGTGGCTCATAGCAAGTGAGTTATTTGTGTATTCTTGTGGTCGTACGTGTTTGGAAGACACCATCTTTACCGTCACAGCCTAGGCATTGAGCTGGTGTGATAAAGTAGAGCTATTTCAGATATAACATTGTAGCAAATATGTACTTATTTGTGGCTATATGTGAGATTTGACTTCCTGGGCTCACATATGATGTGTATCTATTTTTGTTCTTAAAATCGGGTGCGGCATTCATCTCTTGTCATTAATTCTCATGTCACGTTAGATTTTTTACATACTCCACGTGACAAAATATTTAGTGCTATGAAAACTAGCTGAGGTGTGGGAGGGGTAAGAACTGCCCTCATTGGATGGAGATAGTACTGCTAGCTTCATTGGTGTGCCTAGCTGTACAGGGATCAGCGTATAAACATGGTTGAGGTCAGTAGGAGTATTATATGTTTAAGCAACGAAGCTAGCTAGTTTTTTGACCACGTTGGCAGCAGCGGCGTGGCTCATAGCAAGTGAGTTATTTGTGTATTCTCGTGGTCGTACGTGTTTGGAAGACACCATCTTTACCGTCACAGCCTAGGCATTGAGCTGGTGTGATAAAGTAGAGCGGCTATTTCTGATAACATTGTAGCAAATATGTACGTATTTCTTTTCTTATGCATGAACACATTACAGACACAGATGCTTACACATACAAGCACCATAATGAATATTTGAGCAAGCTACATGAAAATGACACGGATACATTTATTCGTCTCGAAGAATACATACATTATTAATTCATACAGAAATTAATTGGTTTATTCGAGAACTACTAACAGTGGAAGATTATCTTCTAGATAGACTCCATGTCTCTTGAGACTTCGCTGTTCTAAGTTTGGATGAGGTAGAATTAACTTGGAACAGGAGATTATTGTCATGGACTTCCTTCCATGAAACCCGGTGGTGGTGGAGGGAGGGATGTATTGGGTGTTGACCCATCCTCTACAACGAACACTGCAGCCATGCCCATCGCCAAATGGAACTCGAAGTGGCAATGTATGAACCATGCCCCTGTATGCACCAAACAAAACAAACCTTGAATTAGATCTCCTTGGAGTTCAACTTCTGTGTCCAACTAAAAAAATTATGACAAGATTCAATCTTTTAAAAAAAAATGTAAACCTCGTTTTTTGAGAAGTCAAATGTTCTCGTCATAAATATTAGTGATTTTTATATAATTCGTTAAATTTTAGACTATTTGACTCCTTAGAAAGCGAGATATAATGTTTTTGGGATTTTAGAGGGAGTATATTTAAACAAAACCATAAATTACGTTATAACATTTTAGTGGTTTATTTATAACATCAAAATAGTGAATATATAGTTGGTCAAAGTATCTTTGTAGACTATATGTCGATGTCTTGCTAAATGCCACAAATTTTGTACCAGTGATTGAACGGACGCACAAGCAAATCAAACACACGTACTAACCTGGATTGTCGGCGACAAATCTGATGGCCGCCCAGCCAAGATTGGGGACGAGGACGGTGTTCTTCCTCGCCGGGTTCACCAGGTTGAACTTGGCCTCATCCGTGGCCGCGTCATAGTTGCCGATCCCCTGCGCGAGGACGAACATGTCGTGTCCATGGAGGTGCATCGGGTTGGAGTCGCCCTGCAGCATGGCCGTGCTCTGGAACACGATGTCCACCACGTCGCCGTGCCTGAACCGCCGCACTACCGTCGCCCTGGACGTCGGCTCCAGCCGCATCTCCACGGGCCCGAACGGGATCAGAGCCGGGTCGGTGTAGTTGAACGCGCTCGGCGGATGGTCGGGGAGCCCGCCGTGCCCACCACGCCGTTGCCGCCCCGGCGGTAGTAGTGCGCCTCGAGGATCGGCGTCGCCGTCGCGTCGTGGAAGGAGACGTTGTTCATGTTTGCAATCACCTGGTTGCTCTTCGGCTCGTCCCTCTCTTGCACGACTTGCGGCCGTGCCGGCATATGGAGCCCAGCCCGAGCGTGACGTAGAGACGCTCGTCGGCGCGCGCCGGCACCCGCGCGCTGCCGGTGCCGGAGGCCCGTCAGGTTGCCGTGGAAGTAGAAGGACTTGATGGTGTCGTGCTCGTGCGGCATCTCCGGCGCCACGACGTCAGCGCGGCTCGAGTTGGTGACCCCGCCGGTATACTGCAACGTCCCTCGGGTGGCGAACTCTGGTGTCTGCGTGTCCGGCGGAGGCGCCTGGATCGGCTGGGCGGCGATGTAGTACCTGCCCGGTGCCGCGTCGGCGACGACCAGGGCGTCCATCGTCTCGCCCGGCGCGATCACGATGACGTCCGTGGTGTAGGGCGTGACGTAATTGGCGTCAGCGGCGACCACCGTGAACTTGTGCCCGGCGATCTTGATGAAGTACTCGGAGAAGAGCGCTGCGTTGATTATTCGCAGCAGGTACGTCTTGCCGGGCTCCACGTCCAGCACGTACCCATCTTCGAAGACGCCTGCAATTCAGCACCTTGTGAGTAAATTTGTTCATATATGTACCATGTGAAAGGAATTCTTTTGGATCTGCATGGACATACAATTTAATAGATGAACTGTGTTTTATACAAATTTGTTCATATCATTTTCAAATATCTAGTCTCAACATAAATGAAATAAATTTTGAACCAAACATTTACAACCTGAATGAGGGAGGGGGGGGAGGGAGTATATAATAAGGCCGGTCTCAATGGGCGTTTCATAGAAGTTTCATGGCGATTAAATAAGCTAACATGTCATAATATAGATGAAGAGATATGATAAATAATTGATAGGATGAATTGAGTTTCATGGAATAATACTTGTCTACACTGTTTTTGACGTATAAGAGTCTGGGAAATGGCCTAAGAGTAAGTGGGGTTAACTAGCTACCGGAGCAGTTGAAGAGATCTCCAAGCTTGCCGTTGATTGTGGACCCACTGGAGAATTCGTCGTATAGACCTCTCGAAAAATTCCTGTCCACCGCTGCAAGGTCCTTCTCCCACCATTCCCCTGCCATGCACATATATCACAGCAGCTCAGCTCAGAAACTCTGCTGAATTGCTGGTAAGTGATATTTATTTATTCATTCATCGGTGAAAAACAAACCTATGAGAATGGGGATCTCTTTGTGAGGCTTGGGAAATGGGTAGGAGGCGGCGCCGTTCCGGGGTCGTATGATGAGAGCGCCATAGATGGCTCCCCGGAGGAAGGCGTCGTGGGCGTGCCACCACAGGGTGCCTTCCTGCCCGGCGACGTCAAACTGGTAGGTGAAGTTGCCGTTGGGCCGGATGGGGCGTTGTGTTACCATCGGCACCCCATCGTTCCAACAGTTTCGCATCTGATACACTCCATGCCTGGATGAACGAAAACGGGCTCAAATATAGCTAGCACTTTGAATATCTACGTCAAGTTGGAGTTATATGTCTATGAAATTATTTAAAGGAACTGTCTAGTTATATAGTACATATAACGTAGGAATAATAAGATTGTTAAAGGAACGAAAATCACAAAAATATATGCCGAGCTTTTAGAGGGTTTAACAATTGAGATACCAATGGATTGTGAGGTTGTAGGGCGACTTGTTGACAACGTGCACGATCACTGTGTCTCCCTCGGTGACCTCTATGGTCGGCCCCGGCAACTGCCCGTTCACCACAGTGACCGGAATCTCGTTGCACATGTGCGTCATATTCACCTGGCTCACCTGCTCATCAATCAATGCAATTCCACCAGCGCATGCATGCATGCCCACAATGTTCAGTAACACACTTCAGCAGCAGCAAATTAAATAATACTGCGAGCTAATGGTCGTGCTCATACCACGAACGTGTGCTCGACGGTAGCCGCCGCCACCGGCGGTACGGCTGTGGCGGAGAGAATGATGGAGACGGCAACAACGGTGACAGCAGCTGCCATCGGGGACAGCAACGACGATGACGATGACCGAAATGGTTTCATTGTGTTGTTTTGCTGTGCTTTGTATAGTTTGTTTCAAATGCTCTGCACGACTACTTCTATATGTGGTGTGTGTTGATCTGTGGCAGGATGTATGTTTGAGCTGAATATATAGCAGCGCAGACATGGTAGCGTCCTCAGGAAGCAGCATGATCTATACGACTAAATAAAATAAATAGCAGCAACCTGATCCGGTCATGATGAAACTAGTACGTGTAGTTACCTGCGTAATCACAGTTGATTTCAGAAGTCTAAGCACGTGGCTTTGTAATCAATCCTAACTGAGGCTTTGCGTCGCCACCAATCACTGCCTTGTCCCATAAATCATCCTTGCATATTATTATCATAATACTAAGGAAGAAGTCTTTTTTTGCAATACAAGGCTCTTGCATTCTTACCCCTGTTTTGTATTAAAATTATGGTTTTGCCCCTATTTTTTTAACTTTGTGAATTTACCCTTGTGTTTTCAAAACGAAGCACCACTTTGCCCCTATTCCGTCATCCTCCCCTAATGGTGTCAACTTTTATACAAAATGACAAAGATGCACATGTGATTTTGCCCCTAGTTTCTAAAGTTATCTGTGATTTAACCCCTGATTTATAACAGTACATTTATATTGTATTTTAACAAAAAAAATGGTTAGATTTGGTCAAATAAATTTGGCACAATTTATAATTATTTTAAATCACTTTTAATATTGAAAAAATATTTAAAATTTTAGTAGCATCTTAGCAAAATTTTAATAGCATTACGGCAACAATAGGAATCCATCGGTCGTTACGAGATCACCCCAACACCAATGCCATGAAGAAATAATACTTATGAAATGATCTCAGCCAAACATATCTCCTTCGTGCAACACAGCAACAGGCAAATGGGACTCCACCAAGAAGCAGTCAAGAAACTTCGAACTGGAAAGCAGCCTCGACGACGACGACAGCGGCAAGTGCATGGACATCGTGCCGTACAGGTACCAGCAGCACAATAACGGGAAAGCTGCGAGCCATGGCAGCAAGCACATGCACTCCTATGAGGATGTGCATTGGAGAAGAAGCAAGGAGAGCACCACGTCGATCTCCAGGAGCTGTACGTTCTCTCTCACAAGCACGCCGTACCACAGCGATTGGCTGCCTACGACCGCGCCCCGCCACCGCCCCGCAGGCTGCCGACACCCCGTGCGACGCCGAAGCACTGTGGCCCGCGCGCCGCTGCCGTCCTGTGCGCCACGCGTTGACGCCCTGGGCCTACGTGTCGTCGCCGCCCGCGTGCTGCCGCCGCCGGACTCCGCTCGGTTGCCGTCCTGTGCACCGAGCGGCACAGCATCCGCACCACGGGCTTGGGCCGAGCGCGCGCCAGGCGCCGCGGCTGCCCTGCGCATGCCGCGCCCGCGGCGGCGGGCACCGCCGCTGCTCTGCCTGTGACCGAGCACCACGGCCGGGATCCGCCTTGGCCCCGTGGGTCGGGACGAGCAGGAGGCTCAAGATGAGATAAGGGGCAATTCAGTCTTTTAGCCTGTGTGTTTTGGGATTTTGATTGTTTTTAATTTATTTATTCCAGTCCATCTAACGGACATGCAAACTAGGGGCAAACGGATGATTCATTTTAAAATAACAAGGTCAAAATCACAAAGTTAAAAAAAGAAGGGTAAAATCACGATTAGACTTCTGGACAGGGGCAAGAACATAATTTTCCCAATATAATATGGACAAGTCAGAAGGTGACGCGAAACGGTGAAAGTCATTGTTATCTGCGTGATCACTCTTTGGATGTCAACTTAGCTCCATAATATAATATAGCCAGGAGTAAACTATTTGTCTGCTTAAAGGATATATATATCGATGTGTAGTCAGTGAGATTGAAACAACACTATTGGCGAAACATGTCTGCATTCTTGATTCTACTTGAATGCTTCTCGATCGTCAGGCTAAAAATAAATGGCAAAGACTTTAGACGACTTCCAGCTCCCCTTTGTTTCACTAGGTCTATCTCATTACCAACCTCTACCAACCTCGTATAACATGTCCTCCCTGTGACATTATAGACGCCGTACAACATAAGGTGTCTCGATTGTGTCTGTATATATAAGTCGTATATATTTGCCTACTCTAAGTATTTCAATTCACCATGTATAATGTTTGGTTTATTCTACTTCAATGCCTCATTTAACCAGGTTGGATGTGCAATCCAGTCACTTCAGCTGCTTTGACTTTGTTTGAAGGACAAAAAAACTACCTTTGGCAACTATAGTTAGATGCAGGAATGAAATGCATGCCTGGTAGTAATTTACTGTAAAGATCATTTTGACTAGTTTATAACCTTTTTCAGGTACATTGCATGCGGTAGACTCTTGGAAACTTTTTGTAGGTTCAGATTAATGTGATGGTAGGTTGATTAATTATTGGGCCAATTCATTTTGACATGTTACCTGGTCAAATAATGTGGCAAACACATGTAGCCTCTATGACGGTCCAATGGAAGTTGCTTGCTAACAGATCATACTCCATACTCCTCTCTATTCGGATATAAGTCCATTAGGACTGTCCTTAGTCAAACACCTATAAAAGTGACCATCAATGGCTAGAATTTTGTGTTTATTATTGACACACAAGATTTACGTAAAAAGTGACCATTCGTGATTTTTTTTTAAAAAAAGAGCAACTGATAAATATAGTTGGTATGATAAACATACAGCTTGCCACAATGACCATAATATTACTGAGATAGCATCCATAACACAACCTTATAGCCTATATGGATAACAGGAAATGCATGGCTGTTGTTTACTGTAAAGATCATTTTGATTAGTTTATTACCTTTCAGGTAGATTGGAAGAGGTCGAATCTTGGAAAGTTTTTGTAGGTTCAGATTAATGATATGGTAGGCTGATTATATTATTGTAAATGTTAGGCGCGGTCATCTGGTGCCGGTTCATTTTCATATGCCACCTGGTCAAATATTGTGTCACATATATATGTAGCCTGCACGATGGTCCAATCGGATATTGGATTTTAACCACTAGTGCAGGGGTGGGTTTCAGTCCCGGTTGGAAAACCTCCTCTAGTCCCGGTTTTCCAACCAAGACTGTCAATCCGGGACTAAAGGCCCGGCTTTAGTCCCGGTCCTCTCAACCGTGATTGATCAGGGACATGTTAGTGTGCGTGGCCCGATCGATCCCGGCAGTGATTCTGATAATAATTAATGTTTTTTTATCTAGGTTTGCAAGGTCGCAGTTTAATTGGGTTCAAATTTTAATTTGTACGGCTTGTGTGTTTAATTATTGTCTTGCATGTAATTCGTGTAACATTTGTTGGGCAAATAGAAATATAAATTCCAGTGTCGCATTGGTCTCAAAATTATTCTCAGGCTTGCACGTCACACAGGTGAAGGAAACACCAAGTTTGGGATTTTTCGGAGATGGTTTGCTACTTTTTGAGGTTTAATTGAATTTCCGCGTGACAACACCGACTAATTATAGGTTGAACTGAGTCTATCCACGAAAAGATCCAGATTGGTACCAAACTTTTACACAGGCTCTAATGTGCCCTAGGCATAAGAATTTTGTGGAGGTCGATGAAAAAATCTATTAGGTCCAAGATGTAATTCACTCTCTTTTGTCTAATTCAGCACAGAGAAAAATATATTAATAAAAAAATGATCAGAAAAACTTCAGATCTTGTTTGGGGCCTTTATTTGGGCATACATGCTTGCCAAAAAAATTTTAAGCCATTTTGACATAGGCGGAGTATACATGTTTCATAGAGTTGCATGAGCCTTTTCATCGAACTATGACTTTACACATAGGTTATCAAGGTTTCTATGGTTCATACGTATTCCGGTGTCGTATTGGTCTCAAAATTATTCTCAGGCTTGCACGTGCCACATGTGAAGGAAACATCTAGTTTATGATTTTTTGGAGATGGTTTGCTACTTTCTGAGGTTTAATTGAATTTCCACGCGACGACACCAATTAATTATAGGTTGAACTAAGTCTACCCAAAAAGATCCGGATTGGTGCCAAACGTTTACACAGCCTCTAATGTGCCCTAGGGATAACAATTTTGTGGAGGTCGATGAAAAAATCTTTTGGGTCCAAGATGTATTTCACCCTCTTTTGTCTCATTCAGCACAGAGAAAATATGTTAATAAATAAAATGATCAAAAAAAATTCAGACCTTGTTTGGGGCCTTAATTTGGGTATACATGCTTGTCAAAAAAATTTTAAGCCATTTCAACATAGGCGGCGTATATATGCTTCACAGAGGTACATGAGCCCTTTCATCGAACCATGACTATACACATAGGTTATCAAGGTTTCTGTGGTTCATACGCATTCCGGTGTCGTATTGGTCTCAAAATTATTCTCAGGCTTGCACGTGCCACGTGTGAAGGAAATGCCTAGTTTGGAATTTTCCAAAGATGGTTTGCTACTTTCTAAGGTTTAATTGAATTTCCGCGCGACGACACCGATTAATTATAGGTTGAACTGAGTCTACCCACGAAAAGATCCAAAATGGAGCCAAACTTTTACATAGGCTCTAATGTGCCAGAGGGATAAGAATTTTGTGGAGGTCCATGAAAAAATCTATTAGGTCCAAGATGTAATTCACCCTCTTTTGTCTCATTCAGCACACAGAAAAATATAATAAATAAAAAAACTGATCAGAAAAACCTAAGATCCTATGTGGGGTCTTAATTTAGGTGTACATGCTTGCCAAAAAAATTTTAAACCATTTCGACATAGGAATACACATGCTTCTATTTATTTAGTATATAAAAGAAATTTTTTAATATATATAAACATCACTGTCGGTTTTAAAAATCCGACAGAGATGAGACAAAACCGACAGTGATGTTGTTTATCATTGTCGTTTTTTTAAATCGATAGTGATTTATAAAAAATTAAAAAAAATTGTGCCAGTCCACGGGTTCAAGCTCGGGTCTCGGGGAGCAAAGTTCTGAGTCTTAACCGCTGCGCTAGTATAGGAGGTGTGTTAAGGCTAAT